TTCTATGGGTTAGATTAGACTTAGAATAGAGCTTAATTAAGCCTAAGGTTTTGGAATCTAAGTGGACCTCTCCACATTTCATTTTCATTTTATCATCTGCCTTCATGTCGTAGGGCCTGTTTGATGTTATAATATTAATTATTTTTTATTTTTTAAAATATAATTTTAAAATCAGAATATTAAAACGATTTAAAAATATAAAAAAATTTAATTTAAAGCAAACTACTCATGGAGAATGCTTCATTAGCTGGACTCCAAGTTCTAATATATATATATATATCTATATATATATATATATATATATTTTAATCATCGTCTGTATTGGTAGGCTAAACTTTCGGATTTAATTAAAATAGCCTAGTAACTAGGGCATCAGCACTGTAGGATGGTAGAACATCGGCACTGCAGCAAGTAGCAATCCCCATGTGGTTGTGATTGCCAAAGAGCTAAGTCATTCACTGTACAGTGAGTAGCAGACGTATTCCCATGAATGCTGGCCTTTCTTAACACATGCTCCATGATAGTATTCTTAAGGCTTTTCAAATGAGCTATAGTTTCATGGACTTAGATTTGTGGTTAAGATTCCTCCGCGGGGTTGGATAAATATTTTTTCAACGTAAAAAAAATATAAAGGAAAATAAATTATAACATCTTATAAGTAATTGGTTCGATTAATAATTGTATTAAGGTATTAAAAACTTATTAAATACTTTTCAAACGCTGCTCTTAAAAAAGGTGTTTAATGGCTTAATAGCCTTACACATAGAGGGTCGTCTATTTACTAGTGTATGTTATACATGTATTAATAATTTTTTAAAATTATATTTAATAAATATTTATAACAAAACCCTTTAATACTCTTTAAATTTATAATAAAATCAATGAAAAAATAAAATAGGTGAGAGTTATGTTGGTTTTGTCTATAAAGACAACATATACTATTCTAAATTTTTTGAAAAAATAGATATATTTTTAAGTAGTAGGCATTATATTATTCTATTATATGATTAAATTAGTGATTTTACTATAAAAAATAAAATAACCAATCTAATCCTATATAATTTATAAAGAATAATTGTGTCACAGTAAACCTCCCCTATCTCCTAGTTAAAAGATTTAACTGCCAAGAGGCAATTTCATCATTGTAATATTATAATGAATAATAATATGAAACATTTTATACAGTAACTTCAACAATTAGCATGTGTTGGGAGTTATATAAGACCCCTTGTCCTACGTATTTATATATATATAAAAGAAATGCAAATGGAGAAAGGTAAATTATAGAGTGGAGTTTATATATATCGTCTTTTAAATTTATTTTAGTACAGACCCTTTATAGCTAGGTTCTATTAATTATTTCTTTTTCTTTTTATAGTTATTTCTTAATGAAGAAGTGCTTGGCTCTGCTAGACAGCATTGGACCTCACCAGAATCATAGATTAGCTGGCATTAAAATGTCAAGACTACCATGATATTTTATTGCATGCCCTCTTCGTTATCAAAGCATGTAAACTCTACAACCTTGCTTAAATCAAAGACGGCATGAAAAGACATATAAACTATACTTTAACATGTAGTTTTCTTCCATAGTATTTAGGTTGGAAATGGCAATGATTAAGGAGTGGCCCATGACAGGCAAGCTCCAACGAACAATGCCTGTGAGAAGGCAAATTATTGGAACTGGCAGCTGCTGGAGTGCTGGTATACTTTCAACTTTCTTGGTATAAATCTTTAAGGGCATGATTATGCATGTCCTCTCACAATCTTGATGTTCTAAGCAAACCTGCAGCAGGATCCAGCTGGGATCGAGAGACACTCAGTAATTGTATATACACACGAGTTATACTCTTTCCTTCGGAAATCTGCTGTCAACTTCAGTAGTGCCTGCTAGATATTCAATTTGCATTACTTTTTGTGACAGAAACACACATGTATAGCGATAAATCAATGCCAATAAAGCTTGCTTTTTGTGGATCAAGATGGTCTTGGATGGCGTTGAAGCTGTGGTGTGACAGGATTTCTACCAGGAAGTTGCTCCTGTAGACTCGAGGCCGCTATGATTGGAGAGCCTAAGTCCAGAATTTGCTCGCCCTAAGAACACAAACCTATAATCTAAAATATTATGCAGGAAATTCAAACAATCGAAACGTGACAAGGGAGGAAGATAAATATATCTAAATGTGCTAGAACTACCTGCCCAAAAGTTTTCAAGGCCGCAGGATATGATTACTTCTCAATGCCAATTAAAAACATTCGGAATAATATCTTTTTTTTTTAAAAAAATTTATTTTTACATTAATATATTTAAATATCTGAAAATATAGAAAAAAAATATTAATTTAAAATAAAAAATTGAAAATTAAAATTTTTTAAAAAACATTTTATTCAAGGCTCGCATCGACATTATCTTCATTGGTCGTTATACATTAAGTAAATGTGTCTGCCACATGGCTATACTTTGACAGGACTTCGAATTTTTTGGCTGTAGCCTGCAGTAGGCCATAGCCAGATTATTCCTTTCTTGACCCTTATAAAAATTGCAATGAAATAAAGGCATGAAGCTAATCCTTCCAACAACAATGGCATTGTTATGTATTAAATTCTGCTGTTGCTTTTGATTTTTATAAATAAATTACGTAGAAAAATATAATTTATATTGCTTCTTTGATGGAATTAAGAATCTTAATGAGAAAAGGATAAATTATACCTTTTCTTCTCGATGACATTTAAATTACAATTCTTCTTATAAAAAAAATATTACAATATAATTAAATGAAATTATTGAACAACCATATATCTTAACTTATATTTGTTTTTTATAGGTGTCAGATTTAGTTTTTAGTTTTTATTAATAACTCTTTTTAGTATTTATAAGCACTTATTATTTTCAAACTATTTTATTAAATATAGACATTCAATTTTGAATTTTCAATTAAAAAACATATTACTTATGCCTACATGTTTTTTTCTTTTTTCCACATTCAAAATCTTTTTATACAACTTATCGTGTTCCAATTATCTAGTAAATACTATATATGTTTATATAAAATTTTGTACCATTTGCTTATAAATAGTATATTGTTGTTTTTTTTTCTCAATTCCCTTTTTTCTATTTTATTTAATTTTAATTTTTTTCAATTTCTTCTTCAAACTTTTTTTAATAATCATCCTATCTATCCTTATACATGAATCATATTAAGATGATACTCACATGATACTGAAGTTAGGTAAGGAGTTGATTTCAAAATTAATTTTATTCTCAAATATATTTTACTGATTATTTAAAATGATTTAAAATAGGCTAATTTAATTAGGTGATGTTAGGACAATTCCAACCCAATTTAATTTTAAACTATACTAGGAAAAAAGTTGAGTTAAAAGTTTTTTTTTTAATTTTATCTTTAATTTTTTTTTTAATATTTTATCAATAGACTAGATTAGTTATAGACCGATCAAGATAACTTACATGTTTGGTTTCTGGGTTTTTCAAAATGCCCTTGAACTCGACCATTTCCAGAGAAAAGAAATATCGTTTAAAATATTTTCCCTCCTTTCTTTTTATTACATAAATGGGCCAGCGGACAGATTACACAAGAAGGACTAACTAAAGCCCTCTGTAAGAACCCCATTAATGATAAAAAGTCCAGACCACAACTTGGCCCGAAGACAGTTCAACAATCTGACGGAAGAAGCAAACGCCTCCCCTGAGTTTGCTGATGTCTGGGACAGTTTGATACGATAGCCTTTAGCATCAAAAGATTGATGAAGCTCCTCCAGGCAAGAATCTTTAACACAGACCTGATTAATTAGGCCGAGCTGTATTGAAGAACATATAGACCAACAACAACGACGCAGCGGTTCATCCATTCACATAAATATTACATTTTGAATTGTAAAACGAAGGAAATTTACATCTTAGGCTGCTCCCCTGTTGCAGGTAGTGATCTGGTTTCATCCATTGCAGTCACCAATAAGAAGACATTCTATTTACACGGCACCTCTCCTATTATAAATGTAAGATTTTGCAGAATAAACGTAGAAAGCCATTTGCAGATTTTGCAGAATAAACGTAGAAAGCCATTTGCACCACGCTCATCCCAGCTAGTAGCCAATAGAAGTAATCAAGATGAGACCGACTCAGATTATTATCAAACCAGCTGTATCGGCTATTCCCACCAGTTGCTTTCTCAATGACAGATACAAGGAAGCTGCTTACGAAGTTTCCAGTACCAAAGATACTATGGTTAAGTGAAATACCAACGCTCCTCAGGTCACTGGGGACCTGATCATAGAAAAATTCTTGCAAGCCCAGCATGGTAAACGATTCAGCAATGCCAAGCAAGACATATTGAGGGATTAACCACCAAACACTCATTGGAATCGTCACATCTGGCAGATCAACCAGTCCATGTTCTTGGGCAGTTTTGAGCCTCTTCATCTTAACGAGAGCAGCAATGACCATAGTCATGACAGGTAAAAAAATACCAGTTCCAATTCTCTGAAGCATTGCAATGCCAGAGGGTTTTCTGGTTAAAGATCTTGCTAAGGGAACAAAGGCACGGTCATATATTGGAATGAAGAGTGCAATGGAGAGGTTCATAAAGAATTGAAGTGAAGCCGCTGGAAAATCGATACCTTGTGAAATCGATCTATCCATCGTAACTGATTGCTTAGTAAAGAGAGTTGATCTCTGCGCAAACACGACAGCAAATACTAGGCATGAAGTCCATACGGGAACAAGCCTAAGTAATGCCTTAGCTCCTTCAACATCACTGAGGCTGCATACATTCCCATCTTCCTTTGAGCCGTTTGGTGCAAGCAGGGCTTTGTTGAGGAACCTGTTACATTACAAGATTCAAATTGCTATCTTAGAGTTCTGGTAGAGCAAAGTAATTCAAAGTGTTCTATGTAAAGTTCTTCGCTCCGAGTTCCTACGCTAGGGAAACCAGATGATGTCGAATCTGTAAAACACCCTAGAGTATTGTGATGTTTTGAAATGAACAGGGAAAAGGCAATAAAGCCCTTGAAGGTTAAAAATGAGTATAAATGAATAAAGGGTATTATAGTAATTGAATAAAAGTTGATAAATATAAATAAAAAAAATAGAAAAAGAGAGTTGTGTTTTAAGAGTGAAAAAAAAAACTGACGGGAGAAGAGAAGAAAAAGGGAGGAAAAGGAAGAGAAAGGGGAAAAGATAGGGGAAGGAGAAGAGAGTTGGAAAAAATAAGTTTAAAGGTAAGATTATGTATAAATATGTATTAATTAAGATTTTAATTTCTATTTTGATAAATATTAGGGTTTTGAAATTATGTTTTGGGTTTAATTGATGAATTAATTTGAATATTATGAGTTGATTGTGGTGGGTAATGAGTTAATTAGTTGATTTTGAGAGATTGTAGGTAAATATGATGATGTTGAGTTATGATTTTGTTTGAATGATGAAATTATGTTAGAAATCAGGAGATAACAATAGGTAACTGTTAAAATTCTGAGTTTGAGGTCGAAGATGATGAAAATTCAATTTGGTCTCTCAATTTATGAAAATTACAGTTTAGTCCCTAAACTTTGGGAAAATTATAATTTGACCCCTAATTGTATTTTGAGATTCTAGACAGTGTTATTATGAGGTTAAAGATGATGAATCCCAGTTTGATAATTGATTTGGAATATTTTCATTTTGATCCCTAAATTTTGTGAATTTACATTTTAGTCCCTAAACTTTATAAAAATTATAGTTCGATCCCTGGTTCATTCTAGATAGAATTAAATATGGTTTATGGGTGAAATTTCAGTATGATTATCTATTTACAGTTTGGTCCAATTTTGGTAAAATTATGTTTTGATCCCTGTTTTGGATAATTATTGTTTTAGTCCCTAAACCTAAGAGACTAAACCCGATTTTATTTTATGCATTGGGATCTTTTTTTTTAGTTTTTTTTAGTATATTTTATATATTGTTGTAGATTCTCCTAACGATCCTTAGTAGAATTTTCGGGTATTTCATCTAACGTTCTTTTTAATTTTATATTTTCCGGGTGAGTGAGATAATATTTAATATGCATATAATATAAAAAAATATGTATGTTGATGATATAATGCGTACGATTAGTTAATCTCTTGAATATTTATATATTTTGCTTTATTTTCCGAGTACTCATCTATTCTTGAATTTACACTTGCATTCTGTCGAGCTAAATTCTATTTGATATGATAAATGTTTCTTTAATGATTCTGTAAATATTTATTATGCCTTGATATAGGATTTGAATAAGACTCATTATATTGTTAAAATCCAAACTTAATTAAAATAGAGTAATAGTGGAGCGTCTAAGACATCAAATCAAAACAGCCTTGAATAATAAGGCATACTGACCCAAAACTAAAAAAGCATGAACACTCAGCAAAGTCCAACTGCTATCAGAAACTAAAAACCTGAAATAATATTAAGAATGAGGGGTGAATTCAACCAACTCAGTAAGGGAATAATATTTAATATACATTTGAGATATTTTTCATATTAATAGTTTCCAAGATGATTTATCTTGATATACATATACATATACATACTAAACATATCATTACAACGTAATAGAGTACATATCAAAGATTCTCGAAGGTGACCAAATGACACTCAAAAGTGACTAGATGACATCCGAAGGTGACCACTGTAGGATGATCAATCGCCACAGGCTGATGCCTCTCTCACCAGCTAGGTATACAAAATACTATGTGCATATAGGCTAACTACTCTTCGTTACCATGAAGTTACTGACAAGTCCTATATTAAGACATAATAGATATTTACAGAATCATCAAAGAAACGCATATCATATCAAATAGAATTTAGCTTGATAGAATAAATATTCATAATATTATTGTGATGTTTTGAAATAAGATGAGTAGGGAAAAGGCAATAAAGCCCTTAAAGGCTAAAAATGAGTATAAATAAATAAAAGGTATTATAGAAATTGAACAAAGAGTTGATAAATATAAATAGAAAAAGAAATAGAAGAAGAGAGTTGTGTTTTAAGAGTGAAAAAAAAACTTACAGGAGAAGAGAAGAAAAGAGGAGGAAGAAGAAGAGAAAAGGGGGAAAGATAAGGGAAGGAGAAGAGAGTTGGGGAAAATAAGTTTAAAGGTAAGATTATGTATAAATATATGTTAATTGAGCTTCTAATTTCTATTTTGATAAATGTTAGGATTTTGAAGATTGTGTTTTAGGTTTGTGCATAAAATAAAACCAGGTTTATTCTCCTAGGTTTAGGGACTAAAACGATAATTATCCAAAACAGGGACCAAAATGTAATTTTATCAAAACTGGACCAAACTGTAAATAGATAAACATATTAAAATTTCACCCATAAACCATCCTTAATTCTATCTAGAATGAACCAGGACTGAACTATATTTTTTATAAAGTTTATGGACTAAAATATAAATTCCCAAAATTTAGACATCAAATTGAAAATATTCCAAATCAATTATCAAACTGGGATTCATCATCCTTAACCTCATAATAACACTTTCCAGAATCTCAAAATATAATTAGGGGTCAAATTATAATTTTTCTAAGTTTAGGGACTAAACTATAATTTTCATAAATTAAGGGACCAAATTGAATTTTCATCATCTTCAACCTCAAACCTAGAATTTTAATAGTTACCTATTGTTATCTCGTGATTTCTAACATAATTTCACCATTCAAACAAAATCATAACTCAACATCATCATATTTACCTACAATCTCTCAAAATCAACTAATTAACTCATTATCCGTCACAATCAACCCATAACATTCAAATTAATTCATCAATCAAACCTAAAACACAATCTTCAAAACCCTAACATTTATTAAAACAGAAATTAGAAGCTCAATTAACACATATTTATACATAATCTTACCTTTAAACTTATTTTCTCCAACTCTCTTCTCTTTCCCTTATCTTTCCCCCTTTTCTCTTCTTCTTCCTCCCCTTTTCTTCTCTTCTCCCGTCAGTTTTTTTTTCACTCTTAAAATACAGCTTTTTTCTTTTATTTCTGTTTTTATTTATATTTATCAACTCTTTGTTCAATTACTAAATACCTCTTATTCATTTATACTCATTTTCTCCACCACACTTATTTCCCTCCGCTGAAAGCACCTTCTTTTTCCTCCACAGCAGCAATAGCCCATCAACGCCATCATTTTCATTTTCTTCCTTCTCCAGTATTGGCAGCAACAACATCGACTCCTCCACAGATGCCGCCATCAGCTTCAGGGCGATTACCCGAACCACCTCCAACCTCACTCCAGGCCAGTGACAACAATTGTTTCTCCTCTCGCAAGGTTGCTTCCCACTCCACTCCGCCAACTGCAACTGCAAAGTTGCATGCAGAACGTGAACTTACCGTTCACGTTCTACACATAATTAAGTTCACTTGGGCCAGACCAGTTTTGGCTCCGACCAAATGTTTTAGCTGGGTTCGGCAAAAAAAAAAACTAAAATTCTAGGTCGATATCGGCCCAACCATTTTGGGCTGATGTTGGCCTACCTCTTTTGGGCTAAGCTCGACCCAATCAGCTAGGCCGGCTCAACCCACATGTTTTAATAATATCTATTTATATATATAATATAATATTATATATTTCTTTTAAAAAACTAAAAAATTTAAAAAAAAATAAAAAATCCTTTAAATTTTTTTATGATTTTCTTAAATATTTTTTTATTAATTTTACATAATATCAGTTTGTATATTTACACTGTAAAATACAAATCCGATATTAAAATACTCGGTTTTCTCCAAAATATTTAAAAAAAAATTAAAGAAAATATTTTAAATAAATTTTTATTTTTAAAAATTATTTTCATGCATATGGCCAAATTCTAAAATTTTTTCAAGCATATTTTTCATTAAAAAAATGAAAATAAAATTGTATCTTTTTCATGTTTTTTTTTTTTTAAAATGGATATCGTAACCAGTTTATGATTATCCATTAGGATTTGGGCAATATATCAAAAATCTTTTTTTTTTCAATTTTTTTTTTTTAGGATCTAGATGTAGACTTTAATATTTGTGGAGTGTAAAATTACACGATAAAGTACACCCTTAAGTATTAAAGATACAATATGTAAATAAATACGATGTTAATATCCAGACTTTAGAACGATTAGAATTTAACCCGATAAGGTAGAGACTCTCTCATGAAGTGAGATATACCTGGAGTCTTAGAAAAGACCAATAAATAGAAATCTGACTTAAAAAACAATTAAACAACAATGCAGCTTACCTTAAGTAGGGTACACTGGGGTGATGCGTCTTCCCCTTGCACAACCAGTCCCTTACTCAGACTCTTGCAGACCATATATTTTTAGTAACCATAATACTAGGTGGCGATTTTTAAAAATTAATTATAATTTTTCAACACACAACACCTCTTATTAGGAGGCACAACAAGAGCCTCTGCCGTCACCAGATGACGCTCGTGCACCCGGCGACACCAACATACAGGTGATCTATGTTTCCAACCATATAAAGTCTCATATGGAGCCATATCAATGCTTGCTTGATAACTATTATTATATGTAAATTCCACCAAAGACAAGTATTTGCTCTATCTGACACCAAAGTCAATCACACAAGCTCTTAACATATCCTCTAAAATTTGTATAGTCCTCTTAGATTGTCCATCTATCTGAGGATGAAAGGCAGTACTTAACTGAATGTTAGTTCTTAAAGCTTCCTGAAACTTCACCCAAAATTGAGAAGTGAACTGTGGACCTCTATTAAACACAATTGAGATCGGCACACCATGTAACCTTACGATCTCGTTAAAGTAGATTTCTGCCAATTTTGCAAACCCATATGTCACCTTTACTGGCAAGAAATGAGCTGACTTGGTCAAACAATCAACTACCACCCAAATCGAATCATAACCCTCTTGACTCCGAGGTAAACCTGACATAAAGTCTATAGTAATCCTCTCCCATTTCCATTTAAGAATCAACAATGGCTGCAAAAGCCCTGGTGGTTTCTGATGCTTACCTTTAACCCTCTAATAGGTCAAGCATTGAGATACAAACTCAGCAATGTCCCTCTTCATGCCATTCCACCAATAACACTCTTTCAAGTCTCTATACATCTTGTTAGAACCAGGATGTATAGTATAAGCAGTTTGATTGCTTCCATCATCATATCTCTTTTCAAATCCTCCACTTCAGGTGCACACAACCTATAACCAAATCTCAACACCATCTTCGTGGATAACAAAACCCGGAGCTCTCCCTAACTCCAATTCATCTAGAATCTTGCAAAGTCGCTCATCCTTCATCCGAGCTACTTTAATCCAGTCTACCAAGTCTGACTTAGCCTGAAAGTGAGCCAACAATGCTCCCGATTCACAAATCTCAAAATTGACCCTCTTATCTAACAATTTGTGTAACTCTTTAATCAAGGGTCTCCTCACCTCCTGAATATGAGCCAACTACCCATAGATTTTCTGTTTAAGGTATTGGCAACAACATTTGCCTTACCCGGGTGATACCGAACGTGCAATCATTATCACTTAACAATTTTATCCACCTTCTTTGTCTCAAATTCAGATCCTTCTGCTAAAAGATATATTGAAGACTCTTATGATCTGAAAATATCTCACATACTCCCTATACAAGTAGTGTCTCCAAATCTTAAGGGAAAACACTATTGAAACCATCTCCAAATCATATGTGGGTTAATTTTGCTCGTGCTTCCTCAACTTTCTCGAGGCATAAGCAATCATATTACGATTCTACATTAAAACACAACCCAAACCAATCCTAAATGCATCACAGTACACGGTAAAACCACCAGACCCTAAAGGTACTGTCAAAATTAGAGTTGTAATTAACCTTTCCTTCAAATCCAGGAAACTCTTCTCACATTCTTTTGACCATTGAAACTTTGACACTTTTCTGTGTCAACTTAGTCAACGGAGCAGCGATTCAGGAAAAATTCTTCACGAATCTCCTGTAATATCCTGCTAAACCCAGGAAAGTAGTATCCTGCTAAACCCAAGAAGCTTCTAATCTCAGATACCGTAACTGGTCTAGGCCACTGCTTAACTGCCTCCACTTTTTGTGGATCAACCTCTATCCCATTTTTGGACACCACATGTCCCAAAAACCTAACACTCTCTAACCAAAACTCGCTTTTCGAGAACTTTCCATACAATCGATGATCTCTTAGAGTTTGAAGCACCAATCTCAAATGCTCTTTATGTTCCTCTTCACTTCTTGAATACACCAGGATGTCATCAATGAACACAATAACAAACTTATCAATAAAAGGCCTAAAAACCCTATTCATCATATCCATAAAAGCTGCAGGTGCATTCGTTAACCCAAAAGACAACACTAGGAATTCGTAATGCCCATAACGAGTCCTAAAGGCAGTTTTAGGAATATCCTCATTTCTAATCCTCAACTGATGATACCCCGATCGCAAATCAATCTTTGAGAAACATTGAGCTTCTTGTAATTGATCAAAAAGATCATTAATGTGAGGGAGTAAGTAACTATTCTTAACAGTGACCTTGTTTAACTGCCTATAGTCTATACACATCCTCATTGATCCATCCTTCTTCTTTACAAATAAAATAGGTGCTCCTCACGGAGACATACTCGGATGAATAAATCCCTTATCTAACAAATCTTGAATTTGCTCCTTCAACTCTTTTAATTCTGCTGGCGCCATCCTGTAAGGCGCCATAGAGATTGGTTTCGTTTCTGAAACTAGATCAATACAGAATTCTATCTCTCTATTGAGAGGTAGTCCAGGTAAGTCATTGGGAAAAACATCAATAAATTCCTAACTATCGAAACTTGTTCCATCCTTGGGACCTCCATGTTCACATCATGCACATAAGTCAAAAACCGTTGTATACCCTTTCGTACCATCCTTCTTGTAATGACCAAGAGAATACTAGATGAAGTTGATAACCCATCTCCATGAAAAGCAAACTCTGTCTCCTCATCAGGTTTGAAAACCACTGTCTTATTCCAATAGTTAACTAAGGCATGGTGCCTTGACAACCAATCCATACCGAGTATCACATCAAAGCCTACTATTTCTAAAATTACCAAATCACCCAATAGGTTTTTACCTTACACTTTAACCTCACAATCAACATAAACATATTCCCCAAACATAACCTCATCTGAAGGGGTAGCCACACACAAAGGACTCTCTAACAAAATGGGTTGTTTAGTAAACCTTAAAGCAAAGTATGATGACATGAAAGAATGAGTTGTCCTTGTATCAAATAAAACTCTAGCCTTGAAGGAACATATTAAGAGTGTACCCGAGACAATAGTATTGGATGCCTGGGCATCCTGTTGAGCAATGGTAAAAACTCGTGCCTGTCTCTGACTTATTGGCACAAAACCTCTACCGCCTGCTCCACGCCCCGCTGCCCACGCTCAGCAGCTCCACGACTACCCTGAAATACAGAATGGCTACCTGACTGAGTCTGAGTAGGAGATGCAATCTGTACAGAAGCACTAGGCTTTAACCACTACTTGTTCGTAAAATCCTTCAACAAGTGATCAGTTTGCTCGCAACCAAAACAAGCTCCTATCTGCCTATAACAAACTGTGTCATAATGCCTAGACCCATAAGACTGGCATTAAGGCCTCCTATCTGAACCTTGTGGTGCTAACTGAATAATACCTCGACTCTGAGTCAGACCAGCTCCACTCATGCTATGTCTACTGTTTCCCCTAATAGTAAAACTCGACAAGAAATTCCTTAACTGACTTAATTAGCCTTGTCGGCCTCCATGTCCTCTGTTAGGACCTGTATCAGACTGCTGCTGAAAAAAGAACTGATTCGCCACTTTGGGCCTTTTGAACGAACCCACTGATAATTCATCCTCTAACTCTCATGCCTCAATAGCTTGGGCACGATCCACTATGGTCGAGTACATCTTAAACTCATGAGCCCCAATAGCTTTGAATAGGTAGTTATTAAGACCCTAAACAAACCTCTTGATCTTCCTCTCCTCAATCGGTACCAAATACCTAGCAAATCTGGACAACCACGTGAATTCCACTTTATACTGTCACAGTCAAGTCACCCTGATCCAACTTCTTAAACTCATATGATCTAGCTTCCCTTACATTTTCAGGTAGAAAACGCTTCAAAAAATCTCAGAAAATTCCTTCCACGCCATCGGTGGCGAACTAGCTGCCCTTTCACCCCTCTTAGACTCATACTAGTTCATAGCCACCTCTCCTTCTAGCCTGAAAGATGCTAAAGTCACTACATGATGATCCGTGCACCCCATTGCCTCACACCTACGCCACATTGCATCTAAAAACTGTTGTGGGTCCTCAGTATTATCAACAACCTTAAAGGTAGGAGGTGTCAACTTATGGAACTCTGATAATTGCACTTTCACCCCATGCATAATATGGGAAGTCGAAGATGCATTCTTATCCTTCTCCTACTCTCTCTTAGCTAAAAGGTCAGCCAAGGTCTGCATGGCCTGTCCAATCTTATCCAAAGCACTATTAGTATAAGACACCTTATCTTGGGATTCCCGCTCCTTATTCTTACCAACATCCAGACCATAGTCTCCCTTAAATTCAACCTCTTCCTGAACTTCTACTTTCATTGGTTGCGGTGAAGGGGTTTTAACCCTCGTTTTGCGCCTCTCCTTCCCAAGCTATAGGAATGTCCTCTTGATCATTATTGACATAATTGGTATTAACTACATGTTTAATATGTATCAACATAACTATAAGGAGTTTTAAGGACGACACACCAAACACTAGATTGAAGAATTATAAGAGGAATGACATTAAGACAGATAGATCTTAAGCTCCACATATTACGAGAGCTTTAACAAAAACAAATAGATTACGAGGTTTTAATAAAACCGGGCTCTGATACCACCTTTTTCACTACTCGAATCCCGGGTCCATGACCGGCAACGCAGGAGCAGGGGTGAAAGGACACCCCACCTACGCTAAGCCTTAAAATAGACACATCAAAGGAACAAGTTATTCAAAAATACGCAGCATTTCATAATCTTCAAAAATATTATATTACTCAAAACTGATGAAACCAAAGGATATTTCAAAACTCTTCATCAGTAATTAAAGCAAAAATAATAATTTATAATACTTATTACATTGTCAAAATCCAAACTTAATTAAAACAGAGTAATAGTGGAGCGTCTAAGACATCGAATCAAACAACCTTGAACAATAAGCAAGGCATACCAACCCAAAACTAAAGAAGCAGGAACACTCAACAAAGTCAACAAAGTCCAACTGCTATCAGAAACTAAGAACCTGAAATAATATTAAGAATGAGGGGTGAATTCAACCAACTCAGTGAGGGAATAATATTTAATATACATTTGAGATATTTTTCATATTAATAGTTTGTAAGATGATTTATCTTGATATACATATACATATTCATACTAAACATATCATCATAACATAGTAGAGTACATGTTAGAGATCAGATGATACTAGAAGGTGACCAGATGACACTAAAAAAGGATGATCAGTCGCCATAGGCTGATACCTCTCTCACCAGCTAGGTATGCAGAATCGTAGGTAGGGTGTCCTTTCGACACTGCTCCTGCATTGCCGGTCATGGATCTCGGATTCGGGTCATGACAAGTATGATCATAAGTCATTTTACACGAGAAAGTAAGGAGTTCCCCCACTACAACATTCAAGCTTTCTTTTCTCTAAATTATGCAACTAGGAATCAACAACCTTTTAAAATCAATAAAGCATCTTGAAGCCGTATCGAATAGCAGTTGTTACCAACCCCATGCAAACAACAAATGAAATGCTTGAAGACCATACTCTCACGTAGCCTTGTAATTTATATCTCCAAACAATTGGCAAGAATAACAAACAACCTTCGTTGAATGACTATAGAAACATAAATTTGATGCATCTACGATGTTTTATATATATATATATATATATGGCCAAACAGATAATGGGTAGATTTGGAAAACATTAATTATTTTCCAAATCTTTTAGTTATGCTAAATGAAAATCAAAGCACCTTAACTATTTTTTTTCTGTTTTCTAACTATTTTTTCATTCAATTTAATTATTTTTTGGCATATTTCGTTGGAATTAGATTTAAATTGTAAAAAAATTATAAATAAAAAAATAATAGATTAAAAAGTAAATTATGGAGAAAATATATAACTTCATCCAAATTCATAATAATTTTCACTTTTGCCCAAACTTTATTTTATTCATTTCCAATTCTATGTTAGAGAGAGGAGAGAGAAAGTAATATAAAAACAATAAAAAATAGAGAAAATTATTGGTTGTCGAAATTTCATTAATTAAAACGGTCATGTTAATGAATTTTAGTTAGTTAGCAATGTATTGCTTGTTTTTTTTTTTTTTAAAAAAAGGAAAACAACATATCATTACCTAAAATAAATAAATAAATATAATTTGGATATGCAGGCCCGACCTAGACCCACCCACATGGGCGTTGCCCTTTATATTTTGCATAGCCATGTTGGTGTTTTGCCACCTTTCCTCTCTTCTCCAGATTAATGCACCCCCATTTTCTTCTGCTTTATGCTTTTTAGAAAGTGGTAACATATACTCTCTCTGTTTCCCTCTCTAAATGCAGATGGCACTCACTGCTCATGCGTTTCATCATCTCTTTTCTTCCTCCTGTTTTTTTTTTTGGCTGGGATTAACAATGATATGGACCTACGGCTTCAAGTGGATATTTGATTCCGAGTCTCGGGTTCTTTACTAAAAAATAGAAAGTCTAATTCACATCATGATGAAGAACAGTTTGTAAAGTCTTATAACCATGCCCTACTTTTCTAATCTCTCTACGCGTTTCTTTTCCCTGTAAAAGGAGTGCTAGAGTTTAGACAGCTAGATGCAATTATCATACATTGGCAGCGAGCTGGAGTAAGCCTCATGCGAGGCAAGGGAATATATAGCAAGATGGCCTCGTTTTTTTTTTTTTTTCTTTTTTTTGCTATATGATCTATCCATGACAACCAACATGCGATATTCTTCTTGCAACAATTTCTCTGTTTTTGGAGATTATGGCGATGTGATAAATATAGGAGATGAGCATCTGGATGGTTTTTTTTTTTTTTGGAGCTTTTGA